TTGGCATTTTTTTATAAGCGTGAACATTTCTTATATTATTCCAATAAGTACCACGACAAATTTAAGGAGAAGATAGGCTTTGAACTGATCTCCCAAATAACAAAAACTTACCTATATAAAAGTGTCACCGTTTTTGAGATATTAAATTTAAAAAAAACGAACCTTTTCATCTGTGGTCTTTAGCTGCATGTAGAAATAAGGTTATACTTTGTTCATTTTTTTCTATAAAATACTTCTAGATAGTTGCTTTATCATATACAAAAGCGATGTAGTTAAACGATATTAAGGAACCATGCTCAAATAAAGACTGTTTTGGGATTTATAACCTTCTACTCCTTAAGTCTGTCGTGGTACTTATTGGTATAATATAAGAAATGTTCACGCACCAACTAGATATCTGACTACAACACTGAAAGTATATAAAAAAATACCAAGAAAATTAAAATAAATCGTAGAGACAGTCGAAGGAAAAACTGGGGAACTGCTGAACTAATTAAATCTATTAATGACAAAAACGAGAAATATAAATTATATAAGACAAATCCAACTGAGAAAACAAAACAAAATTATTTGTACTATAAAACTAAACTCTGCCTATTGATGCATATTTCGAAAAATATGACACAGAAAAACTACAAAACAACAAATCTGACTCTAAAATGCTATGGAATACCATAAACAAATCTGTCATTCATCCAAACCTGAAACAAAAGTTGAAGAAATAAACCTCCATAATACAACTCTTAACACAAGTAGAGATATTGCTGATGCATTCAATAATGGTGTCCCACAAGGGGCAGTGTTAAGTCCCTTATTATTTACACTTCACATTATTAGCCTACTGAGCTTAAAATCTGAAGGTACAATCACAGACGATACTACTATCATTTATTCGGATAACAACTCGTGGGATGATCTAAAAGTGAAGGTTGAAAGAAACTTAACAATACTTGCTGAGTGGTTCAAATATAACTATTAACTTTCAAAAGACTATGTTCATGCCATTCACAAATCACAGAAACATATTACTATCCTTTGTATCTATTCAGATTAACTGTGATAATATAAATACTCAAATAAATTTAACAAACAAAATAAAATATTTAGGTGTACCGTTAGACCCACATTTAATGTGGAATATACATATTGATCATGTAATAACCAAAACAATGAGAAGTTTCTTCCATGCTATGATCGAAAGTCGTATCAGCTATGCAATATTAGGTTGGGGTGGAGCTATTATAACCAAATTATTAAATTAGAAATTATCCAAAAACAATTTAAAAAATAATATTTGACAAGCAACTCTTATACCCATCTGATCTGTTGTATTCTGAAGCAAAAGTATTAGACCCTAGGCAACAATTTTTCTACAAAATTATAAATTATCAATTTCACCATAGAAATAATCTTATTCCGTTAGATCACTTATATCAAACTAGAAACAAAATCAACAACATTAAGCAAACACCTTTCACCTCAAAAAGTATAGGTAAAAGATGTCATACTTAGCTTTCCAGTAGATTATGTAACATATTACCAAATTGTATAAGAAATATTTCAAATAAAACAAAATTCAAAATTGAAACCAAAAAATTTATAATTGAAAAAAAAGATATCAAATTGCAAACATGATACGTATGAAAGAAATATAAAATTAATGTAGTAGTAACAAACCTCCAACGTTCATATTGTATATGTGTGTATGTAGATATGTGTGTATAGGTTTGTATATGTGTGTGCGTATGTATGTATATATATATATATATTTTTTTTTTCTTTGAGACGTGGTCATTGTCGTCTAGACCAGTTAGGTGAAAAATTAAAGTAACAGTAGCAACAAAAGTGTAAAATGAATTTAAATTGAATCAACTTACAGTAGTATGTGAGGATGTTGCTAATTGTTGTTTTCGTATAGGATGAGGGAAACGTCCAGTAACATGGTGAGAGCTGGATACATGGTACAATGGTTAAAATTATATGAAATATGACAAGACAAGTTAAAGACATTAAAAATTATTTAGAAAACATTAGAGCATTACGTCGTGAAGCCACTTGATGATTGCACAAAATGGTGGTTATGGAATAATGAGTGAGATGAACCTTTGACAGAAGGCCGAAGGTTGTCAATGTCTGTGTTGAAAGATGGAACGAATTGTGGGCGTGTGCGAAAACGTTGCCAAATCACTTCAGATGATGTGATTTTCAGAATGTTATGTAAGAAATTGTTAAACCGACCAGAGGCAACTGGTCGTTGGCTTTGGCAATGAGTACTGCTCATATATATATATATATATATATATATATATGTATATATATATATTTGTAAATTATGAGTTAATACCCACGCACAAGAATTTATTCTTCTGGGAGTAAATTCAGTTTTATTTACGTATACCTACGTCAGTTTTAGTTATGTTTGTATGATTCGTGAATAAACTTATTATTAATATCATTATTATTATTATTATTATTATTATTATATTTCTCGCTTTTCTCCACGTTCGCATTTACTGACGCTTCCGTGTCGGGTCTCGGTGACAAATTAATTCGATTTAGATTTCATTTATTCATCCTGTGAGATCTACCATCAACATAGCGCAGTCATTCACTTGTGCGCTTGGTACATAATCGAATCATCCGAGGATTTCAATACTTAGAGTCAACGAGTACTTATTTTTATTCGAGGTCTTACATCCACTACCTTCTCGTCAGACCAAGCTCAAATAGCAACATTGTATTATTAATGATTAATCCAAAAAAGGAATTTCAGCAGATACACAAGACAGTTAATTAGAACCGGAGGAACGTTTGCTAAAGTGGAAGTAGGCCGGCGAGGGCCGCTCGGGAGGCCAATCAATATATTCGTTAAGCACGCAAACACAATTACTGTTAATAAGAAACTTTCCATATTTACCGAATACTTAATTAACATTTATCTCGATATCGAGATTCGGTGAACTCTACACAGCTTACAGGTGAAGGTCGATTATTAGAACCGACGTCTTACTGTTACAGTTAAGAATATAACTAAAAGAAACAAGTACTTTGAGAGCTAGATCACATGTGGCTTCTTAGCTATTACTTTGTTAACTTAGAATGCGATTGGTAAGTACTCGAAATACCCCAGTCAAACGGTGGTTTCAAACTGCAAAATGTACAGCAGCTTGTTTCCTATTTTAGTCTGAAAGAGGATTATTTACTGAGCCTATAACATTACAATTTCCACACAAACTACATTTACTGTGCCAAATGTTATTTTAACAAATGCATCGTTTCGGTTCTTTTCGTTTATCTTCATTACATCGGATCCTAAAAGATTAAAAAAGAAATTGTAAACCATTGATTTTTTTTTCTGGCCAATTCAATAAACACGGAAATCGCAGAGTAATTTCTTAGAATCCGATAGATAGTAATGGAGATAAACGAAAAGAACTAGAATGATGTATTTGTTTGAATAACGTAATCTCAACAAGTATAATGGGTGTAGAAAATACGGGTAAGTCAGTAGTCGTTTTTAGCACGCTTTTATTAGCTTGGCCTGTATGTATGTAAGGGAGAGTCGGGGAATTGTGCGCAGCGGGTAATGTGCGCATTGCATTCCTCCCTTAAATATTGAATATTACTCAGTCTAACAAGTGCTGCCACCTAGCGGGCGGCGTATAAAGTACGGCATATGCTTGCAATCGCGTCAATTTCAGTTAGTTTGTGAACGTTTTGCATCGATCGCACATGTTGTTTGGTTATAATTTTGGAGGTACCTGATTCTATACGTAGAAGGTAAACTGTCTGTTTATTCTTAATAGATTTTTAACATGTGTAGTCATAATAAGTAGGCGTTTAGGCATCTTTTTACATAAATTAAATTATGATGGAGCCATTTTTTTGTTATGACAAGTTTTTGCAAATAATGCCCTGCGGGGCAATTGTGCGCTGTACTGCGCACAATTACCCCACATACGATTAAATGATAATTTTTTGTTTCATTAACAGATGCCACTAAATCACATACGGAAGACGGAAGACAGAAGAGAATTCCTGGGACCCAGAAAATTTGAAGAAAGCGTTAGAGGAAATTAGAAATGGCAAGAAAATAAGAGAAGCTGGCCGGGCATTTAATATCAACATTACGAAAGCAAATGACAAAAGCAAATCCTGAATCATCGCGCCTTGGTCGTAAGCCAGTATTTTCCCCCGAGATTGAGGCCTAACTAAAGGAGTACGTGCTTACACTTGCCAACCTGTTTTATGGTTTGACGCCCACAGAACTTCGTTGGTTAGCATTTAGATATTAAAAAGGATATAATATAGGACATGTTTTCTCATCCGAAAAGCAAATAGCTGGAAAAGACTGGTTATATAGATTTCTGAAACGAAATCCTGAAACAAAACTTAGGCAGCATAAATAGAATTGGTTCCTTCAACTCCGAATCAACTAGGAAGTGTTTTGAAAATCTCAAAGTGGTAATGGGCAAACATAAGTTACCTCCATACAGGATTTTTAACATGGATGAGACAGGGGTCACCGTGGTCCAAAAAAAGTGTCCAAAAGTTTATGGATACAAGGGTACAAAAAAAGTGGGAGCTGTTATATCGGCGGAGCGCGGGCGAACAATAACAGCTGTATTTGCAGTTAGTGCTGGAGGTAACTATTATCCACCTATGTTAATCTATCCTAGAAAGAGAATGTCCCCAGCCTTACAAAAAATGGACCAATTGCAGCTCTTTATGCCTGCTCTAAAAATGGATGGATCAATTCGGAGCTGTTCGTTGAATGGTTAAAACATTTTGAAAAAAACGTTAATCCCACAGAAAACGATCCTGTTCTGCTAGTTCTAGAATTCTAGATAATCATTCCAGTCATATATCCCTAGAAGCTTATTTATTCTGTAGAAGCAAATTTATCCATATGGTTTCTTTGCCATCTCATACTTCTGACCACCTTCAGCCACTGGACTTAACATTTTTTGGTCCTTTGAAAAACCAACTCTCTAGGGAATATGATATACAGCTTACCAATACGGGACGTGAAAGAATTTCAGAATACGACTTGGCTGAGCTTTTAAATAGAGCATTTTTAAAAGTAGCTACTACGTAGAAAGCTATTTCTGGTTTTAGAACTGCAGGAATATATCCATTAAACCCGGATAAATTTACCGGAGAAGATTTTGCTCATGCAAATCAAATAAGACCCCTGAAGTTTCTACACCCGATACAAAGAGCGATATTGAGAGACCATCAACACCCATTCCTGGGCCTTCTACATCACGAGAATCTCCAGTAAATCAGTATAAAGCAGGTAATTCATCGCAATAAGACAACTCATTTTGCAGCTTTGCTCCGATTCCAAAAAAGAAATCAAATCACGAAGATCCAAAGAGAAAGACTCGTAGTAAATAGTGCTCTGAAATACTAACATCGACCCCTTTTAAAGAACAACTAGAAAAAGCCGTGGAAAAAAGAAGAATGACAGCAGCCAAGAAAGTTAGAAGAAACTTAACGGATACAAACAAAAAAGAAGACATTGTAAAAAAAAGGAATTGGTTACAAAGGATAAAAAGAAGGTTGTCAGAAAGTAGTGAATCTGATATTAGCAGACGAGTCTGATTATTTTGCCGATGCTGAACATAGAGAGAACTTTAATGAAAAATGTGGTATTTATGGAGAGTTCGGTCAGGATCGGGAGCTATGGTACAGATGGGTTGGCTGTTCCACATGGAATCATGCAGCATGTAGTGGTGTTGATCGAGCTGAAGGTTACCTATGTGATTATTGCCACTGGTAATTAAAGTTATGTTTAATAGACTTAGATAAACTTTTTATGTTAGCAAGATGTTAATAAACAAGTAATAAAAAATCTTGATTTGTCATTTTTCATTATTAAAAAATATTTAAAATAATGCGCACAATTCCCCACCTTCTCCGTACAATTACAATAGGGTGGGGAATTGTGCGCACATCACTTTTTTCTTTTTTTCTTGTACCTACTACATGGTTCTACATAAAGTAAACGAATATTTCTTTTTACATAATAAATGCTCTTTAAATTTCTATAAGTATGAGTGTAATAAGGTCAATGGTGTAGTCATGGAAACACATCTTGCTTAGGTGCGCACAGTTCCCCCACTCTTCCTTATGTAACGGAATCTTTAAGTATAATTTTCACCAATTTCCAAAAGTTTGGTTAATTTGAAACTTCTTACACGTATCAAATACCGATGACTATGCAATAATTTGATAACAGTTTTCTATGATCCTTATTAGGACCGCCAGAATTAATAAATTCTTTTAGAGATTAAAGTAAGAGCGATAGAGCTAGCGCGCGATCTGCGCATTTGTGCGGTTTCAGACTTACTCTTTGTTGGGTCAGATACTCGGCACAGCACAACGGAGATACTTTTTCCAGGTAATGCGTTCTCACCTTGTTCATTGTGAATGTTGCCATTAATCCTGAGTTGGGCTTCGATCGTCCGCAAGATGCAAGGTTGTACAGTCGACCATGCAGTCATTTATTTAGGTTCGCAACTGTTTGGTGCTAGACAAGCTTATGTAGCACTTAGTCGTGTAAGACCTTTAGACGGTATTGGGACTAAAGAACCTGATTGCTCTAAGTTAACAGGAAAAACCGCATGCAACAGTGAAGCTTTAAATGAAATGATCAGATTTCGAAATGATTCGTAAGTCATTTTAATACCACATGTCCACAAAAAACTAATTGATAAATCGAACTAAAAAATGAAAAATTAATAATAGTTTAAAAAATAGATACTTTTTCCAGGTAGTGCATTCTCACCTTGTTCATTGTGAATGTTGCCATTAATCCTGAGTTGGGCTTCGATCGTCCGCATGATGCAAGGTTGTACAGTCGACCATGCAGTTATTTATTTAGGTTCGCAACTGTTTGGTGCTAGACAAGCTTATGTAGCACTTAGTCGTGTAAGACCTTTAGACGGTATTGGGACTAAAGAACCTGATTGCTCTAAGTTAACAGGAAAAACCGCATGCAACAGTGAAGCTTTAAATGAAATGATCAGATTTCGAAATGATTCGTAAGTCATTTTAATACCACATGTCCACAAAAAACTAATTGATAAATCGAACTAAAAAATGAAAAATTAATAATAGTTTAAAAAAAACTAAAAAACACGCTTTTATAGCTAACCGAGCTAAAGCATAGGAAATAATTTTTAATTATAAAGAGTTTATATCACAGTAGTAGATGGTCGAACAATCAATCATAATTAATGACTTCAAAATAAAATTAAAATAAAATTTAAGTTAAGTTATTAACAGAATAATTCAATTTAGAGGAAAAAGCGTGGGGTGCATTTTACTACATTTTTATAACTCTCCTCTCATAGATAGTTACCAATAGAATGATTGTAAAATTTTATATATCAAGTACCCCCACGCTTTTTACTATGAATTGAATGATTCTGTTGATGACTTTTATTATAAATTTATTTTGAGGTCATTAATTATTATTGATTGTTCGACCATCTACTACTGTAAAATAAACTCTTTGTGATTAAAAATTAATTTCCAATTTTTAGGTCGCCTAGCTATGAAAGCGTGTTTTTTAGTTTTTTAGGGTCCGATTATTATCATGGACCAATAGAAAAATACCTTATCGAAATGAAATTTGACGGAAGCTGTCAAAGGTCTCAGAATATCAGTGATTTCTATTAAAATGTTGAATAAAATCGTGAAAATTCGACTGTATTATAAACAAGACAACTTTTTGATTCCAACATGATGCTTTTGTACAGAGAAAACAGGACAACCTTCATGTATTTTGATTTATGTTATAGGTGTACATTTGACCATCCCTTATTCCCTCAGCGAATGGGAATGGGAGAAATAATAGGTCGATTTTCTAGCTGTTAAATTTGGCAGCAGGTTTGGTCTTTTGTTAATTCATGGCAATCTCGAAATTTGTTGTTCAATATACTGTGTGTATATGTGATCATTATAGGTACACATACCTGTTGAATTGTGCGGATTTGCAAGAAAATAGAATAATAAATGTATTCCAACAATTCCTCATCTCTCTTTACATCATAATAGTAATCATTTGTTATAAATTCATGGGTTAATGAATTTCTTCAAAGCAATCAAAACAGTATGTCGTCCCCATCCTAAAACACCGTTATGTGTAAAACATGTTAATCCCTACATCTCCGAGGTGCTTAATGCAATTACTGTAGACATAGACCTAAAATTATTAGTAATTACTGAAAAATAAGAGCTAAAAAGAATTATGAATAGATAAAATATTGGAGGTTAAGGTTTTTGACTGGTGACTGGTGGGGATACAATATAGGGATGGCGACGATAGACGATACATTGATGTATCGAAAACATCGATACATCGGACGTAGAACATCGATCTTTACGCATCGATGGTTTCATGACGATATATCGATATCGAGAGGAATCATAAACATCCGTAACCATATACCTCGAGTCTATCCTTAACTGTGCTACCATCTCTAAGCGAGGACTTGTAGCTTCGAAATTGAAAGGCCAGAAAGCTATTTAGGTGTTTAGTAGTATTTGAATATTATCATTACAGACGAGCACTGAGCCACTGAGTGGCCACTGAGTGCCCACTGAGCACTGTAGTCTTTTCTTCATTCTGTACGTCCCCAAGGGATAGAATAAAATAGACTGAAAATAGCGCGTTTAATGATTTTCAGTTCTCAGAGAAAGATTTTCCCCTGCCGGCCCTTTACATCGTTTCGAAATACGCGACACGACATGAGAGTTGTTTAATATTGTTATGGGAGCAACTTTAGGATCAAAGGTATTAACTAAAGTAGAGTATTTTAAACACAAAAACTGCGCTAGTTTTATCAGAAGAAAACACTATATCTCTGAGCCACAGAAGCAAAGCGAATCTCAGGCTTTCGATACTCCCAACACTAGTGTGATGAAATGACAATTTGTCCCTTCTTGGATTACTTGAAAAAGTTATGTGCTTTCCAGTTCGTTTCATTAAGTTGCGTTCAGTTCTAGGAACTTGTTCGTGAACCAACTACTTTATGCAACAGTACCACAAAAAATATATATACAGAAACAGAGCAGATATTCCAGTCTTTCAGTCGAGATAACGTAAAAACGATTCAATTCATATTTTTTAACCGTTCCAATACATTCCACTGATCGCAAATGTATTCTCTCATCACTAACATTATGAGACACTAATCTCAAATGTCAATTCCGATCTCCTTTGGTCTATTCTCCTTCTCGAACGTAACTGTATTCTATGTTTTGTGATCACTTGTTTTGTTATGTGTGTAAGGCAAGGCGCGCACTGAGGTAGTGTGGTAGTGGTGAGGTATTGGAGTGGTGAGAGGCATAGGGATGGTAAAATTTGGCGTGGCGATCGGAATAGCGGCGAAGTGGTATGAAAGTGATATGAAGCGCACTGAAGTGGCAAACAAGTCAGTTCATGTCACCGGTTTACCATGTCGTCCTCAGAAGATGAAGATGGCCTTTTATTTATGCAACTTGTTAATCTAAATGCTATAAGTCAGGAGACGAAGAAAAAACGGCATTGCGTTCATCCGCTGTGGCAAAAAAATAAAAAGTTTGGAATTTTTAATGTTTATAAAAAGGATTTGAACTTGGACGACCAAAAATTTAAACTTTTCTATCGAATGAAGAAATAGACTTTTAGCAAGTTACTGACTAAACTACGGCCTATGCTTCAAAAAAAGGATACGAACTTCAGGAACTGTGTTTCTCCCGAAGAAAGCGTTCTAATAACACTGAGGTACGTACAATGAAAAAATATAAATACAGATATATTTACTATCCAAATACAAACTTATTGTACAACATTATTCTTAAAAAGCAAATTCATGATCTGGTAATAATGGGTTATTATACTGAATATTTGGTAATAATGTATCTTGTGCTTGTGTGGATGTCTGACGTACTGTTGAAAACGAAATATCTTCATATGTCCGCGAATCAGCTGTCTCACTTTGAGGTCGAATAGAGCTGGTATATGCTGAAGAGGAACGGGTAGAAGGTATGCTGTCTGCAGCAAGCGATGAATAACTAGACGTTGGGGAGAAGAGAGGTGCAGAAATATGAGACACTACGGGCTCATCCAAGATTTCACCGGCAAGATTTAGGACTCCCACTTTATATTTTCTTTTCTGCTTGTCTGTCATTTTTTTTAAATCGGGTAATAGACTCAACAAAAACTGCACATCGGCATCATCATTAGTGAAAGCAGGTGGTTTATATGGTGCTTGCTTCTTTTTTTCAAAAAATTCAAAGGCAGATTTGTTAACATCTGCCAAAGATATTTGATTCGGAGTAGTTTTATTTCTTTTAGGATTATTTACACTAGGTACTGACGAACTGGATACACTTCTCTTTTGTGTTTTTTGCTTTGGATCTCCAGAATCATTTTTTTCCAAACTGTCTGTCTGAGATACAATAATATTTGATACAGGCTCGTTAAATTCTTCAGGAATCGACTGTT